CACAGTTTAGCTTGCGGGTTCTGTGGTAGTGATTTGTTCAAAGTTGTTTTTCGTAGCAGCAATGTCTCCGGGATTTTGTTGAGTGGATAGGGCTCGGTTTTCGGGAATGGTTGGCGTTCTACCGACGGGTTGATCGGCGACCGCTGGAAAGTTACAAGTTTTGGCTCGTCGATCAACGAGGCGTGAACACCACCCTGCACTGGTGGCGTTTATTGCGGGAAGTTCACACATCCATGCCAATCGCTCCTAAGTGTTTTTTGATAGCCCTTTTAACTCGCCGATTGGAAGCAGTCTTGTTGGAGCGCGGAAACCTTCTCTCCGTGGCAAAAGTCCCTCGGCAGCAAATCGTCCCTCGCGGCGGCATATTACTAGCGTCGCTCAGAGAAAAAATTACGCCCACGCCCAACAAGACTGCGAAGGAGGCTACATATCCTAAAGTATTTCAGGAAATCCCAGGCATCAAGTATGTACACTCGGAGCTGGCCCACTTGTTACTGTGATGTTTAAAGACTTGGCTCGTCTGGTCTTGTGGACAGAACCTGCTTCCTCAAACAATACAGACAAGTCGTAGAAAGATTTTGTGAGATAATTTGCTTGGTGTGGTCCCGGGGAGGTGCAAGCCAGTAGCATTGTTGAAGTAATTACGCCATGAATTGGTTCCATAATTAATGGTTGTCAAGATTTCCCAGTCCCAACAGACAGTTTTAGTATTGATTATGTCCAATGGGACTCCGTACAACACTAAATACTGCAGTACCGAATACAAACCGCTCCGTATGGTGGCTAGAAGGTGTCCTTGTTCGGTGCGTTTGCAAACAACAACCACGCCCCCAACAGAACTTTGGCCCCAGTGTAGTCTAGACGGTGTTTTATGACTGTGACTTTTTGTGAGTTGTGTATTACATTGCATCATGCGTGTAGCGGCACACGTCAAGCTTCTTAGTTTCCAGAAAGGAAATCAAATTTGTACAGGTTATGTGTAATTTGAAGACCTTGACTGATAGTCATCTTTTTTGTAGCAGTTGGCTGCATCTAAACATGAAGTGCATTCTGCTGGAACACTACACACAGTTAACAATAGGAAGTGTCAGTTGAACCTTCTCACAGTCTCATACATGTAGATAGTCATTTTCAGTGAACTAGACTATACTAAGGCCACACCAGTTAGAATGCTGGTTCTTTGATTTTTTTTCTCAGAAAAAAATGTGAAGCAATAGGGAAAAAAAGGCTTTAGACATGCTATGATAGCCCCAAACACTAGGATAGAAGCCATGAAGTCAACATACCATACTGGTTTGTAATTCAATCAATGGATTGATAATTTGATAGATTGGGAAAAAAGTAAGGACTAGGACTACGAAGAGGACTTTCTAACTGCTGGGGCCTAAATTTCACCATTTTGGAGTTAATTTAGAACCCAATTCTTTTGGCAAATCAGAAAAAAATAAGAGGTCGAATCCAAGAACCAATTATGTTGGTATGGTGTAAGTATGACTTTATTGTTATTGCAGTTTGAATAAAGTATGACTTCAACAACTGAATATTGTTCTTTATTTTCAGACCGTTGAACATGGGTTTCCGCATCGCCCCAGCGCTGTGGCCTTTGACCCCGAGATGAAACTACTGGCGATCGGCACCCGTTCTGGCCTCATTAAGATGTATCCTTTCACCTCTGTGTGTTCTGAGCTTAATCATTAACTGTATTATGTCTGGTGCTGTGTACATGTAGTGTACCGCCACTTCTTGTTTCCCATGTGATCGTAGCAACCGAACATGATAAAGAGCTCTATTGAACATGCTCTGATTATGGGCTTAGGTATGATTATCCAGATCACAATACTTCAATGCAGATAGTAGGTGACATCATCTCTAATCTCTAAGCAGATCTCTAGGCAAAATCGTAACCAACTCAAACAGACAATAGAAAATGGTACGCAGAAGAAGCTCTTCCTAATTAACCACTGCTTTGGGAGTTATCATCAGTTTTTTTAATGAACTTCACATAGATCCAATACATGATGCAGTACTATAGAAACTCAGACGCTTTCTATCCATTTTATTCTCCCAATGGAAAGGTTGGAGTGTAAAGGTTGAGCCCAGCGTTGTATGACATGTCATGTAAGCAGGAAGATGTTGAGTCGGGCGTGGCACCGTGATACCTGTGTGGTTTCGGTTTCCTGTTATTCATATTATCTACCTGCATTAGTCATGGATCTATTTTTATGTTGTGTGTGGTAGAAATGCCTCACAAGTACCTTTTACAGTAATTACCAGAAGTAAGTCTAAAGGGAATTACAGTCACCACTTATATCCCTGAATGACTCGAAGTCTTCAGGTATTGTTACCCTGTCACCCTCGTTGCACCTGTGCCCCAATCATGGTGGCTAATTCTACTAATGTGTTAGAGCAGAAGGTAATCTTTTTAAAATGTGCAGGTGTGTTCTGTGGCCTGGGATTGTGTAAAGCCTAAAGGACATGCCGGGGTTGTTAGCTGTCCTCACTTGTGTTGACAGCCTAGCAGGGTGGTATCAGGAAACAGTAGCAGACAGGTGTACAGTACAGGCAGGGACAAATAGATCCAGTGTTTTCCCATGCTGCCAATAGTGTGGGCTGTACAAATTACTGAGATTGGTTTGAGAGTAAATCCCTCCTTAAATACAGTAATCAGATAGAGCAGATTAAAATATTATCTGTCCCCATTAAGGCAAGTACTGGTCAGTTTGTTAGCAGAATCTCATAATTCACTTCCTCCCACATGAATTCTTGAGATAGAGTTGTTTTTTCTGGACAAATTGTTGCCAGTAGCAGAACGTTCAGTAGCAGCTGTAGAGTTGGCTGGTGCAGTGTAACCTAAGGTGATAGGGAAGGTGTCAGTTGGAGAGGCTGCAGCAGAAGTATGCCAAACATGCCGAGTCTGACCCGCTGAACTGCTGCGGCCAACCTGTGTCTGTCAGCCCAGGGCCACTCCACCGCTAGCCTCCCCCTGACATGTAGCAACTGCTCCAACTCTGCCAGCCTCACCCTACAGTTTAACTTGAGCCTGGAATGTCTGCCTGTCTCTGAGCGGTGACCTTAACCCCCTGACATGTGCATGCTGACTTTTTTGGTCAGTAAGAGACGTATGTGGTGGTTTTCTGTTTCACAGGACCAAATGAAATGTGTCCTGACGTTAAGTTACTGATTCAAAATAGAAATGTAGCATGATATATTCACCAGCACTGACAGAGGACCACCATCCATATGGCCATGTATTTATGAATATTGTGCATAACAGGAAGGCACAACAATTATGACAATATGTCATACTGCTTAGAATTGATTGAATTTTTCTAAAGGTAGTAAAATTGTTCACCTTTATAATACAGATCCTTGTAATGAAGTGGTAAGCTATATGCTGTTTATTTTTCTGCAAACAGACTTTGATATATTGTGGACCAGGTCTATAAATATAATGGTACCACAGAGTGTTTCTTTGTTATAAGGTCAGGCCTGCACAAATGGGTGTGGCAGGTGGTCACTGCACAGAAGCAGTTCCACTCTCCTGGGAGGAGGTTTGGTGTGTTCAGATCTCCCCACTGTGGGGGGGTTCCAGTACCAGCTGTTAGGGAGGAGGTGAAAGCAGGCTCTGTCATACATAAGCCTGTACAACTAGAAAGTATTTTTCTCCTGTCAATCACTCAGTTGTAAGCCCAGAGTTTCTGATGACTTATCCTGCTGTAATGCAGAGGAGTGGGCAGGGGTTGTCAGGGAATGAAAGCTGGCTGTTAAACAACTCTTTCTCCCTTTCACATGGCTCTGATCCCTGTAGTGTGCCTGTTAATGTTTTCCAGAACATAGAACCCAGCAAAATTGATATTTAAGACCTTTCTATGGAAGACCTACTGTGTTTATACTTCCTGGCTGTAAATGGGAGGTGGTCCTTTGACCCCAAACCTCACAACAGTCCCAGGATGCAGGCTAGGGTTTGGGACAAGGTTGGCTTTGGAAAAGCTGAGACTGAGCGATCTTTCACATGGTAGAAGTAACTGAGCTGGCTGTGCAATTCCTCATTGCTTTTCACAAACAATCTCTCAAGTGGTAAAGAAGGAAGTCTCAAGGCTAAGTGCTAATGGTTCCTTGAGCTATAACTCAAGATTGTTCGGTAATACCTTAGGTCAAAGTAGCCAGCACGCCCCCCCCCCCAACTGTATGTTCAGTATGTTTGCAAGTTTAAGATATGCCATGCACCTGATGATCAAGACTTTGCAGTAGCTTATCAATGTGATGCAGTGCATGTAAATTATCCTCACATAACCTTGAGAAAAGTCCTGACTGTTGTAGTGTTCAAGGCTTCCTTGAAAGAGTAAGGTAGAGTGAAACTGGACCCCATACTTGAGGTGATCTTGATGGCGCGACAGGTAGTCGGGGTAGAACAAAGATATACCTGTGGCAGGTCTGACGAACGTGAATAAGATCCTGCCTGCATGGTAGCAGTGGAATGAGTGAACCCTGATTCCCCCCGCTCAACAGTCAAGTGTACCTTTGTGCCCTTGGCTTTGAAGCGCCAGCCTGGCCTCATTAATTTCCCCCCTGTTCTCATGTGAGACAAGTTGTCAGTGATGTATAGGGACAAACAATGTGGACCAAATTTGTCATGGAGGTACACACAAGGGGCAAGACCAGCTGACTAACCCTTTATCACCGACAGTGTCAGTTAATGACAGA